GTCGGGATGTTATATCATGAGGATTACACCGCCCCTCTGTATTATATGCTTCGCTTAAAAGGTCGAAGGAGTAGCAATTGTATCATTATATTTACTCATTGTTAGTTATATTTTTTGCCTTATAAAATCTATACTATGGTTAAGAGTTATTTTGTTGCATGACTGGGAGTTGAGTCAAATTCATATTATTGTTTCTAAGGCGTACCGTGTTTTTAAGTTACAACCTTAGCAGCCAATTTGTGTTTATCATGTCATGAATTATTATTGTGAGTGTATGCTATCTATCGTCGGTTGTACTGCATTTTGGATTTATGTTTGAAGTATCCACCTATGTGACATATGTAAGTTGTATCTTTCCTTGATAGTTGAAGTGATAATTGGTTAATGGCTGAGTTATAATTTAAGGGTTTTTTCAGTGAATATTTGTGCTTTATTTCAAGTGGATACTTGTTTAAGAAGCTCTCTTCGGTATCACATTTGTTTTGAATAGGTTCTCGTGCGCGCTCACATAATGAGTGTCAAGATGATTTTAGTGGGATATATTCTATATTTGATTTAGTTGCATAACTTCTTTTCACTCATTGTTTGTTCGACAGGTGATTGGGTCGAGGGATTTCGAGATGGAAAGTTCGCAAGGGACGATTGAGGTCGAGAAACTCGCCTATCTACTGAATCGGCAGCATTGGGAGCGATACAACCTACCCAAGGTTGAAATCGACTTCTTTAGGGGCTATCATGTTTCCGACTTCCTTGATAAGTTCGGGCAGATAACGTCCTTCTACTAGTGGAATGAGGAACGGATGCTAAGAGAAGTTATAAAATATATCCATGTAGACTTGAAGTAGGAAGTCAATGGGTTCATTAGAAGAGCGGGAATATCATGGAGTGAGTTTCATAATCTCATGTGGAAAACATACCGGCTAGGTGAGGAAAAATTGACCAAGGACGATCTCGAGAAGATAAATTTGTTCAATCATGTGTCAGTGGGGCGGTTTCTAGTTGAATATGAATGTGTTTTCCGCAAAGTTTGGGCACTGTCTGAATATGACAAGTGTTTTTTGAACTTTTCGGACGCAGAACAACGAGATCTAATTTGTGGGACATAAGGAAGGCTTATATGGAACAACTCGAATTTTGTACAAGGGGATTTCGATCAGCACCTTTGTCATCCTTTGCGTGAAGCAAGAAAGAAAAAGGAGTCGCACGATTACGAGAAATGTGAGCATGGTAGAATGACAAGTGTTTTTTCAGTTGACACCTCTTAGAGTATGAAAAGTGAACTTTAGAAGGATACTAAGGTGCCCAAGAGGAATCATAGATGGAGCAAACGGAAAAAAGAGGAATCATGTATTGAGAGGAAGGAGGTGCAGATAGTGAGGAATGTTGCGACTCATACTTGTGAAAGGACGATTGGCGTCCCAAGCAGGAAGACGGAAGAAAAGTGAGGGAGTCACAAAGAATTGGGTATAGCCCTACCTCCCGCAGCATTTGATAGTAAAAAGGAGTGTGATGACAAGGAGGCATCATCAACTGCTAGTTGGACAGAGCGAAAGAATAGCAGGCAGCGAGAACAGTGGTCGAAGATTGTATGTGGTTGTTGTGGGAAAGTCGGTCACACTCCTCGCAAATGCAAGAGAGCGAAAGACAGAGTCGAAAAAGGAGACGGTTTACTCTAGGTAAATATCAATTTTTTTCCTAGTAGTTACCATCATCTATGGCAAGAAAGAGGTAGAGTCGCGTTATTAGTTTCCGACGGCTTACAAATAGACATTTGGAGTATTATGACGGTACGGAAGACTCAATTGCTAAGACTGACAGACGATTATCTATTTTGCATTACCATTAAGGTTGAGCCTATGAGCTTTCCAATGATATATGGGATCCACCTTGTATATACATTCTGATTTTGACTGTGAGTCATTTGGGATTGTGCGTACGTACTGGATCTGACTATCCACTCTCTAAGTTTTGTATCAGTTTTGGTAGGATACCAGTGGAGAGTTACTATCAATAGGTTGTCCTTACGTTTGACGCTCAATCATCTCGAGGGTTGTCGACCCCCGGCCCCGGGACCCCGCCGCGGTTCAGGGGTTCCGAGGGTTGGCACCTGGGACCCCGGCCCCAATAAAGGGGGGGGGGGCGGGGAATCAAAACAAAATTCAAAAAAATAAAATAAAAAATACTGGGGGTTGCACACCGCCGCCGTTCAGCCCCTGGCATTTTCTGTCTCGTGCAGAAAATGCCCGAACATGGGGTCCCCCCCGGGAGCGCGGACCCCCCTTGGCGGGTGCGGAGTTGCCCCAGCGCGGGGGCGGGGACGGGTCGGCGGGCCGCGGTGTCGGGGTTGAGGAGGCGGTGGTCCGGTGGCGGGGGTGCGCTGCGGGGCAGCGGGGTTGCGGGGGGCGGGGGTCTTTGGGAGGCGCGGGGTGTGGTGCTGAGGGTGACCGGCGGGGTGTGCCGGCGGGGTCCCGCCAAGCGTCGGTGGTGGGCCGGTGGTCGGGGCCAGGGTTAGAGTGCGGGGGTCGGGCCGGTGGTGAGGTGAGGAGACGGGGGCAGGTTGTGGGGTGC